GAGCAGCAGCAGCATGGGGCAGTGGAGATGGAGGCGCAGGCAACGACTGCGGCAGGGCAGGCCAGCAGCCGCAGGTGCAGGCGCCGACCGCTGGAAACAGGCGAGACTGCCGCACAGGAGCAGCAGCCGCCGCAGCAGTCCCCGCAGCGCCAGTGCCTGCAGTGTGCCAGCCCCACCAAAGGCAGCGGCAGGTGGGCAACCTGGCACCGCCACCCCGCCACCGGGGAGGAGTGGCTGTGCCAGCCCTGCTACCAGAAGGAGCGTGCAGCCATCCAGCGGCAGCAGCGGCAGCCGGAGAAGCACCGGCAGGAGGTGGAGAGCGAGGAAGAGGAGGCGCAGAGCGAGGAGGAGGAGGAGGAGGAGCAGCAACAGCAGCAGCCCCCGCAGCGCCAGTGCCTGCAGTGCGGCAGCACCAGCAAAGGCAGCAGCAAATCGGCAGCCTGGCACCGCCACCCTGCCACCGGGGAGGAGTGGCTGTGCCAGCCCTGCTTCAGCGAGGCGCGGGCAGCCTTGCAGCGGCAGCAGCGGCAGGCGGAGAAGCAGCGTCGGCAGGAGGTGGAGCGCGAGGTGGGGCCAGAAGAGGACCACAGTGAGGAGGAGGCAGCAATCGCAGCCGCTGTGAAGCAGTGCACCCACTGCGGCGCGCTGCAGGCTGGGCCGCCCGGCACATCGTACACCTGGCGGCTGCACCCCACCACCCGCAAGCAGCTGTGTGGGCCCTGCGGCAACTATGCCGACAAGCACGGCGGCGAGCTGCCAGCGCTGTCCGACACAGCACTGCAGCGGATGACCAGGGGGGCTGAGGATGCTGCAGCTGAGGCCCAGCAGCCACAGAACAAGCAGCAGGGCAAGCGAAAGAAGCAACACCAGCAGGCCCCCGCAGTGGATGAGGAGCCGCCTGTGTCACCTGCTAGGCGACCCAAGCAGCGCCGCGTCGGTGACAACCAGGGCTTCCTGCCAGGCTTGCGGCTGCAACCAGCGCAGCCGTTGCACCCGCCAGTGCCGTCGCAGCCTCAACTGCAGCAGGTGCAGGCGCAGCCGCAGGAGGTGGAGCCACAGCAGGCGCCTGAGGGCCTCTTTGCCCACCTGCTCAGAGCTGCCAGGCAGCCGGCTGCTGCCGCTGCGGGCCTCACACCCAAGCTGCTGGCAAGCTTCTGGGCGGTGGTGGACACGACGCGGTCCTCACAGCCGTCTGATCGCAAGGTGGGTTGGGAGTGTCCGACCGCCTCCAGGCGCCGCTGCAGCTTACATGCACGCAGATGGTTGCTCCCCCAGCCCGCTCATGCCCTGTGCCGCATTCCCCTTGTGCCTGCAGTTGCCACTGCAGAGGTATGAACTTCAGCTGTTGCTAGAGAGTGCCGAGTATGCTGCAGTCGCCGCCATGATGGAATCGACCCTGCGGCTGGCTCTGGCAGGGCAAGGCAGCTGAATGAAGGAAGACAGGCGTCACCAGCGGCGCTGGCTCATGGACGTAGTGACTTTAATTCTCATGCTTCATGTTTGCCGAAATCTTCATGCTTCCTGTTGCTTGGCGACAACTCTACCAACACGTAAGTTGCCAGTCAAATGTACATATGTTGGCAGCATTTGGTCCAAATTTTGGAGCAGCGGCCGCTCGGCCACGTGGAGCAGGACAGGGCGTCTGTACTGTTGTTCAAAGTATGTTCATCAATCGTGGGTCTTCGGTCTCCGGCCATTCGCCATTCTCGCCTTGCCTCCTATCAACCAGCTGCTCACCCAGTTTGCAGCCGGCCTTGGGCACAGACTTGAAAACTCTGTGGCAGGGTGCTGCATCCCCGCACACTGTACGAGGCTGAGGAGCTCCGCTTCATGGCCGGTAAACTGGCGCGGCACAAAAATGCTATTGATGCGCAATCCGCCCCTGCCGCGGCACCCCCCAGCGCCACTACCGCCCCGGCGCCCGGTGCCGGCGCTGCACAAGCAGCTCACGTCGGCCCAGAGCACAGCACCCTGGTAGCAGCGACCGATTCCAGGCCCATTTCCCCACCTGGAGGGCCTCCTGCACAAGGCACCTGCCGTGCCTCCACTGCCGAACCAGTACGCGGTGAGTAATGGGCTGCGCGAGGGACCGAGGCACCTGCTGCTCGGCCGGGTGGGCCCCTTTTGGATGGTTCCCATGGCTCAGCGTGGCTACTTCACAAGGCGCAGCATGCCGACACACTGCCATAATGCGGGCCGCGGCAGGCCAACCAAGCCCTCCTGCTCTCGTTGCCAATGCAGGCGGCAGCTCCGAGGAGAGACAGACACAGGCGGAGACAAAGAGGCAGCGGCTGGACAGTATAGTTGCAGAACCACAGCAGCAGCCGCAGCAGCAGTTGGTGAGCAAGCCATCTGCCGCCGGTCCCCAGGCGCTTTCACAGCCTGCCCTGCCCTGGCGCAGCAGCCGGGACCCGCAGCTGCAATCCCGCAGCGACGCGTTGCCACATGGCGTGCAGCCACTGGCTGGCTTGCGCACAGCACTGGCTTGCCCGCCAGCGGCGGCATCCAGCCACGAGGCAGCCCCAGGTGTGCCCTGCCCAGCTAGGACCAGCATCGTGACGCCCGACACACCGCTGACCTCACCCACGGCTAGCGGCGAGGCCCAGCCGCCAGCAGGGCAGGATGGGTGCAGGGCGCTGGCGCCGACGGCTCCCACGCCTCCGCTGGCCATGGAGCAGCACACGGCAGCGGTGGCAGGATCAGCGGCTGTTCTGGAGTTTGAGCAGCAAGGCTGTGCGGCTGTGAAGCGAGAAGTACACGAGGAGGGGCAGCACGCTGGGGGGACAGCGGATTGCGCTGTTGCGGCGCCAGCGCAGGCCCAGCCGCCGCGAGCTGAGGTGCAGCAGGCGCAGCAGGAGCAGCATGCAGTGCCGCCCTAGGAGCTGCAGGCCTCGCAGGTCCCAGCCGAGGGAGCCCCTGCTTACACGCCCCGCCCCGAGCACCTCTTTTCACTGTACAAGTACCTTGGAGCCAAGCGGCGGGGTGAGTGTGGCAGCGGGATGCGCCCATTGACTGCAGCTGCTGGCGCTCAACAGCGGTGAAGGGTGCTCTCATCACGGGGGTGCTTCAGGGGGCTCCTTGTTTCTTGCTGCAGGCGAGGTTGGGATTGACACTAGGGCAGAGCCGAGCCTGCAGCAGCCTGCCGTACAGCAGCAGCAGGGGCAGCGGCGTGGAAAGCGAGCAGCAGTGGCCGCAAAGCAGTGCACCCACTTTGCCGACACGCGCGGCGGTGAGCTGCCACCGCAGAGACATGTGGGGAAGCAGCCTCGGCAGGAGGAGGAGGGCCAGGACCAGCAGGGGGAGGAGGAGGAGCACCACACACAGCAGCCCCCGCAGCGCCAGTGCCTGCAGTGTGCCAGCACCACCAAAGGCAGCGCCAAGTGGGCAAAGTGGCACCGCCACCCCGCCACAGGGGAGGAGTGGCTGTGCGAGCCCTGCTTCAGCAAGGCGCGCACAGCTGTCATGCGACAGCAGCGGCAGGCGGAGCAGCCGCCTCAGCCTGAGCAGGCGCCGCAGGCACAGGCACAGGGGAAGCCTGCTGAGCTGGGGGAGGAGCAGCTGCAGTGTAGCCACTGCGGCGCTGACCGGCCTGGTCCCACGCCCACCTACCCCTGGCGCAAGCACGCGACCACTGGTGCTCGGCTGTGCAAGGAGTGCTGGTTGTACCAGCGCAAGAACTACGGCTTCCTGCCGGAGCTGCCACTGCGGCCAGCTCAGGCCCTACAGCCTTTCGGGCCCCGGGCAGAGCCGCCGCCGCAGCAGACCGAGCCTGTCCCACAGGCGCAGCACCCTCAGGACCTGTGCATGCGCCTTCTCGCGGCAGCAAGGCAGCCGGCTGGCGCCGTTTCGGGGCTCACGCCCGAGCTGCTGGGTAGCTTCTGGGCGGTAGTGGGCGAGCTGACACCCTCGCAGCAGGCCCGCAAGGTGGGTGGTTGGCGCCCCACCGCGCTGAGCTGAGTGCCAGACGTGGCGGCATGCATGGCCCACAAGCCATGATGTTCAGGACCCGCCTGCCCACTTGTTGTGTGCATGTGTCCGTGCAGGAGGGCAACCTCCACCTGCTGCTGGAGCGGGGCGAGTATGCGGCGCTGGTCCGCATGATGGAGACGACGGTGCAGCTGGCTTTGGGCGCAGCATGCGGCTGAGGAGGAGGGCGCGGTCACCTGCATGCGTTTGCTCTTAGTGACACTGCCGTTTCTCTGAATTGCTGATGCTTTCCACTGGGTTTGCTTTCTACCTCTGTTTGCTCGCTTTCTGTCCAAATCCTGAACCTCCCAGGGGCCACAGATGCTTTGAAAGGCCGACAGGCAGCGAACCCAACAGCATGCAACCAGGGGTGCGAGTCTTGGACCGTCCCATGGAGTGCCCAGCAGCCTCCTCTGCTCGCCAGGGGCCGGCGGAGATGGTGCCCCTGCTGGAGCAGGGAGGCGAGGGCCCAGGGGCGGCTGCAGGAGGTGGGCCAGTGATGGCGGCCCGACCGCCGGCCAAGCGCCACCGCTGCAGATCGGCAATGCGTCGTTGAGCAGCCAGACTTTGTTCCAAGGCAGCACCGCAAACTTGGATGCCATGCTGGCATTTGCAGATCCATCTGTCTCTGTGCCAGAAGACATGGAACAGTTGGCGGCTGCGGCGGCTGCGCTTCAGGGCACTGTGCAGGCCAGCGAGGCGGCAGACCGCTTCCCGCAGCTAGGTAGGCTTGAAGGCACGGCACGGACAAGCAGATGCACCTACGGAGTGGTGGCGGCAGGCAGTGCTGTGCACAAGCAGCTGGGTGAGCAGGCCAGTCGGTCCATGTGTTGCCCCCTGATGTGGCACCCTCCCGATTAGGCAACCCCCGCCCCCGCTCGCTCCTGGCAACCCGCGCGGCGCTCCCCTCCCATACGTGAACTGACCCCATAGAGCCATGTTTGAGGGATGAGCGGGGCGGAGCGGGGCTGCTTGCACACGTGATGGCATGCACGCTTCAACGCTCCCGCTGTCATCTCACCTCTCTAGCGTCAGAAATACAACTCTTACAAGCCAACCAACACGAACAGAGAGACCGAACAACAGAAATGAACAGGAAATATGAAGCTGCCACAGGCGGCAGCGCCTTTCAGCGGAGACGGCAAAGCGTACAAGGCACACTTCTTCAATGGTTCTTGCAATTGCCACCCTTACCGGTTATACAGCCACAGTGCCGCCCACACCGCGCACCATTCTTCTTGCAGCTGCAGTTCCGGGTGCAGGCGCCGCGGCAGCCGCAGCGCACGGCTGCCTTGCCGCCGCTGGGCTGCGCCGCCATCGCCACATTGAGAGACACCACAGGCACTCCTCGCTGCGCCGTGCCGCTGAAGGTCAGCTCGCTGGCCAGGCTGGGTGGCGCCTTAGATAGCCTGCTGGCCTGATGCATACCCTCCACCACTCCAGCTCCGCTCCGCAGCCGGTACATGGTCACGCCAAAGGGCCGCTTGATCTCCACCACGCGGCACACGATGCGGTTGCGGCCCAGCTGCTTGCCCACTTTGCCGCGCTTCGGCGGCAGCAGCAGCACGTCATCGCCCACAGCAAAGTCCTTGGGCTCGCCCTTTGGCCTGCGCTGCGCTGCGATCCGCTGGCGGTTCTTCACCTGAGCCGCCGCCACTCGAGAGCGGGTGGCCTGCAAGTGTGCTGGCATGGGCGGGTGTGGTGCTGCCAGCGTGCCGCCCTCCTCCGCCTCTGCTGCTGCCTGCTCCTCCTCCGCCTCTGCTGCTGCCTGCTCCTCCTCCGCCTCTGCTGCTGCCTGCTCCTCCTCCGCCTCTGCTGCTGCCTCCTCCTCCTCCGCCTCTGTTGCTGCCTCCTCCTCCTCCGCCTCTGTTGCTGCCTGCTCCTCCTCCGCCTCTGCTGCTGCCTGCTCCTCCTCCGCCTCTGCTACTGCCTCCTCCTCCTCCGCCTCTGTTGCTGCCTCCTCCTCCTCCGCCTCTGTTGCTGCCTGCTCCTCCTCCGCCTCTGCTGCTGCCTCCTCCTCCGCCTCTGCTGCTGCCTGCTCCTCCCCCGCCTCCGAAGCTGCTGCCGCAGCCGCCGCTGCCAGCACTGCTATGCGGTTGCGGTGCTGGCCAGCAGGGCTGCTAGTGGCAGCGGTGCGCTGTGGCAGCTGCCGCACGGGCAGCACCTCCTCCGCATCCTCCAGCTCGTGCTCCATGGCCAGTACGGCGATCAGGCCCGCAGCGGCTGCCCGCTGGCTGCTGCGCCGAGCAGGAGCCTCCCCCTCATCCATGGCCGCCGCAGCAGCTGCCACCTCCGCTTCATCGGCCAGCTCTGCCTCCACAGCGCTGCGCTTGCGGCCGGTGATGGGCGCCCAGGCTGTGGGGCGGCGTGCAGCTGTGCGGGTGGTTGGCACTGCGGGGCTGTCATCCACGCCCTGCTCCATGTCCATCTCCTCGTCGCTGCAGCATGGGGCAGAAGAGCAGGCAGGTGGCTGGACACAGGCGCAGCAACCCAAAGGCTGTGTGCAATGCGGCGGCAGCCTCGCCCTGTACTGCTGCCACGTCCTGCCCCAACCGCCCTCCTGCTGCCCCAGGGATCTGTTTCCCGCTGCTGCTGCATACCTGGCAATGCCCAGCAACCGGGCAATGAACTCGGCGGGTGCTTGCAGCACGCGCTGGCTGGGCTCGCCAAACAGCGCTTGCGAGCGGGTCATCTTGCGGCCCAGCGCTGCAGCGGGCTCGTGGTTGATCATCCCTTGCACGCGCCGCACCTGAACAACAGGACAATGAACAGCCTTAGAAGGCAGAGCAGCAGATATGGTGGTCGTTATGCAACACAGCATCGCCAAACAGCAGCAGGCAGCAGCAGCAACAGCAGGCAGTCAGTATGATGGGGCTGGCTCCGCCTGGCATGCAGGCAAGATGTACCTGGTAGCGCCAGGCAATGGTGGGAGCCATCTGCAGCTGAGCAGAGATCTTATCCTTGACGGTGCGGTTGCTGCGCTCCACGCAGCCCTGGCTTTGCGGCTTGCCGATGGCCCCATTGATGGCGGTCACGCCAAACGCTTGGCACAGCTCCAGGATGATGCCGGCGACAAACTCCTTGCCATTGTCAGAGCAGCCTGGCTGGCGCCTGGGTGTCCATCCAGATTTTAAAGAGCTGCAGGTGAATGGACAGGACAAACAGTGAGGATTCCGATGGTCACAGCCAGCATGGCAGCACGTGGCAGCAAGGAAGGCAAAGGGGCACTGCTGCAATGCACCACGGGCAGGGCAGCGATTAGCTACCCTCATTTCCTGCCCTTGCCTCCCACGCTTTTCTGATACTGCAACAATCCAGCAGCAGATTGCCAGGCGCTCACCTGGCGGGCAACCCCATGCGGCCTTTTGGAGGCCAGCGCACGGAGCCACACGTGGCGGGTGAAGAGGTCCACATAGCTCATGATGTAGCGGTACTTGGGGTCGCGGCCCTCGCCCAGGTCGATCAGGTCCACCTTCTCACAGGGATGTGGATGGGGAGAGGGGCGGCATGGGAACGGGGGGAATCTCGCATGGAACTCAGCATGGCGGGCAGGTTTGCTGTGGGTCGGTGAGCAGCAGCCCTAAGTAAAAGCAAAATGGCTGCTCCAGCTGAGCCACACAATTGCTGTCACCAGCATGCG